GACTCTGGCACACGACAATCAATAAAGTCATATGTGTCCAAGCGAATTGGGTGAATTGAAACTTGTAATGCCCCTTTTTGAGATTTGCAACGAATAATACGAAACCTAGAATGAAATAAAGTCATTAGTAGTAGATCACGTGAACATCAAAAAGACAACGATGGACGTAAATTTACCTATACAGTATAAGGTGAATGAAATAAATCGATGGTGTGTAGCCAAAGGGAGAAGAAAAGCATCCACCAAAACAGCTTTCTTGAAATAGTAGATAATAGATTCACCGTATAGAAAATAATTAGTGCTAAGCAGGAAATACCTAAATAAGAAAATGTAAGAAAATGTAAGAAAACGTAAGATTAAGAATTTTGGAAAAATAACAGGAAACAAATATGGAATATATATACCAATTGAGAGTTTTAAACCAAGGTAATTTCTTTTCCTTACTCGGTACATGTGTTAGAGCGATGACTTCTTTAAATACCAATGTTTGAATGATCACCACAAGAATAACGACCATTGAATGTCCCAAAGCCAAACAAATGAAAAAACCACCAATCATGATGAAAGTCCAGAATGCTCGAACACTCATGTTCTTCCACTTTTTTATATTATCATCATTGATCTTTTGTTCCTACATATTCAAGCAAATGATTTCATTATTTTAGTAAGAATTTGAATAAATTACAAGAATAAATTGATACGCGTAATTAACATTAACACTTTAGAATTAGATTTCGAAATAATTAACACAAATATGGTTATCAGTTTTTACCACGCCATTATGGTTGGAAAGATCGTTATCATGGTCAGTATGTTCAAAACCGTTTTGATTTAGTAACGCATCGTGGGTCTTCCCACCCTTCTTTTTCTTTGTCATTATTAAAGGAATTTAACACGTATAAAAGGTGTGTTGTATAAACATTAAAAGAGACAAAGATTGCACACGAGATCAAATACTGGTAATGTTATTTCAGGTTGTATTAAAATATATATCGATATGTGTTTATAAAATATTATATATATATATATATATATGGTTATAAAATTTTTTCTAAGAAACAATTTAGTAAAATTAGAGTCAGGTGGTAGAATATATTTTGAACACGTTATTTTTTTAAAAGCCATATAAATTTAATTGGTTAGTTTATGACGTACATATGATCGAAATGCTTGTCTTCATACGAATCTTATGAATTCAATTTTTGCAAGAACTTAAGCTAATAATCATAAATATGCATAAGACATTTGTTACCTAAATTGCGCGCGTGAGTAAGTACATGCGTAACAGTAACTAATGCGTAATTTAAAAGTTTTCCTCTTTCAATGAGAGATAAACGACAAGTAGAGAATCTTGTTCAATCGAATAGATTACTTATATAGCGTGCGTTAAGGTTATTTTTAACAGGTTCACATCTTTTGGTTCACATCTTTTTGGATGTATTGTATGATTATTTCGGTTGTAATCAAATGGTTTGATTTAGTGCTATATCGATATCTACAATCGTGTAGCGATTTTAAGTTCAAGTAAACTAGAACTTTAACCGGTTCGGTTTCTCATATACTTATACTGTATTACAGTATTAGTATACGGAGTAGATTAGTGGGTCCACCAAAATTCAGCAAACGACCTGCAGATCGCCGCCGACCCATCATCGGGATTTACTT